TGAGTCCCCAATCTAACACATTTTAAAAATTCTTTAAATTGTGTACAGTAGAGGAATCAAGAATTTTCAGTGTGATAAACCCTTATGTAAGATAACCTTTATACTTATATAGCCGATCTTATTCGTTTTCACTGAGTGCAAGAATTAGGTCCCCTGTCTTCCAAAGCTAATTAGAGAATTTTTAGATGGGTGTAAAAATACATTCAATTTCCCACAAAAATGCAAAAACCTGCATCTAAAATAGTATAGTAGAAGCTGAGTTGTTCAGGGTAATCCTTAACCCTCTTCTCCCCCATAGGGGGATTTCCAAAAATCCCTTCTTAATGTGCATTCTTGTGAAGTACCCTAAAGGTGTACCAAATTTCAACTTTCAACTCCTAACTGTTTGGGCTCTGCACTTATTATTATTATTATTATCAACCCATCTTGATTATAATATAAAGATAAAGCTAATGTTTTTAATTTTGAATTTGACATACTATTTCTCAAGTTTTCAAACACTTTAAATTTGGAAGTGTTCTTTCTAGTGTGACAGTAGTCACAGGAAGATTAGCTTAAGATGAAGATAAACTTGGAAGGAAATGACAGTTTAGAGTAAGGGAAAAAGTTATGAATCTCAATCTGTTCAGCCATCATAATTGTAGTAGGAGAGACAAGATAGTTAACTTTCCACATGTATAGAAATGGCTAAGTAAAAAATAAAAGGAGGGTAAGGTGAACAGGATGGGACAGTTGTGTGATTTTTGAAAAAGTATATGGAGTTTGAATTTAAATCTATTGTTCCATTTTTAACTATTTTAAAAACTGCTCAATGTGTGAATGTTTCAAAGAAAAAACATTTGAAAAGAAAAATTCAATTTATGAATATTCTATTTAGTAACAAATTTTGTAACTGCATAACATCAGAATTTTACAGTTTCTGATTAGTTTTTTTTTGTATGTGAGTTCTCTGAATGAAGCAGTTGTTGGTTTCATAAAAGATAGTCCTTTACAAAGAATGTTTGTGGAGGACTACATGACATGAAACTCTTCTTTTTTCACTCAACTCAATTAGTTGAATTGAATGAAAGATGATTAAAATAGGAAGATCTTCATAAATGTGATTTTATTGTTGTTGTTGTTAATTGTCAACTTCTATTAATATTATTTCTATAAAATTTAAATAATAACAGAAAAGGGAACTTTTCTATTTAGTTTAAAATAAATTAATATATTAATTTTTATTGTTACTTTTAGAAAAAGTTATTTTGTCAATTTTAGTCGTTAAACTTTCATATTAATTAATCATTAAAATATTTATAAAAAATTTTTCATTTTTAATGTTCAATATTTTAGAGTACATTTTTACAAAATTTATGATTTTAATATTGATTTATGATAAAATAAGAAAATTCTTTTTTGTGTAGATGTTGTAACCTGCTTGGCAATTGATTATAGCAACACTCATTTAATGACTGGTTCACAAGATACCACGTGTATGATTTGGGATCTTGGAACACAGGTATTGCATATATAATATAACATGTAGATTTTAAATTTGAAATTGTATGTGTTTATATGTACTTAGAGCAGTGTTTCTCAAACTGGGTTCTATGGAGTCTTGAGATTTCATGAAGAGGGGTAAGTGTTCTGAATGTCAAAAATGCACGATGGAAATTTTTTGTAGTCCTAAGGGTTTATTCATAAACTTGTGCAGTTTGGTTTAAGGATGGGGGATATGGGAAAAGCACAAAACACCCCTACAGCTGGAGGGATGGGTAAGTTAAAAATCACATGGCTGTAATTATTTCAACAAAATAAGTGAATTTAGAAAAATTTTTTAAAATATTTAATAATAAATTGATATTTTTACAGTTAATTTTTAATCAATTAAATTAGCAATTTTCTTACAAATCAATGCATGATCTGTGTTAAGTATAGGCACTATTTACAATATTTTTTATTCTCTTTATTCATCAGTACAGAAACATATAAGGTGTCTAAATAAAACATTATTTTAATATGTTGATGTCAGCAATTAAAATAATTTTTTTTTTTTTTTTTTGAATGATTGAGAAACTATACTTTAAAGGAATCTGACTCTGGAATACAGGAGTGGCCATACATGAAGATGAAAGGTGGCATCTAGGGCTTTGTACTTTGNACAGAGCCATAATCACAGATAAAACAATTTACCACAATAGACCAGACATCCCACTCATTGACAAACACAATAAAATCACATACATTATAGACATAGCCATTCCAAACACTCACAATGTACAAAACACATACACTGAAAAAGTCAGTAAGTACACAGAACTTGCCCAGGAAATAAGGCATCTGTGGAGGGTGGATAGGGTGCTTATTATACCTGTTGTCCTCTCCTCTACAGGTGTCATACCACACACTCTACACAAAAGCCTGGGAACATTACAATTGAATAGAAATACATACATCACACTACAGAAGGCCACTATATTGAATTTGTATCATATTGTTAGGAAATTCCTAAATACAGACATACACTGACACACTCATTTAATTTTTGTCTTGTTTTGAAGTTACTATGTCTTGACTCTGGTCTGGCATAGTACACAGCCATCGGTGTCAACCGAGTGTAACTCACAAAACTCAACATAATAGTAATAATAGGTTTATGGCATTACAAAATTCTATTAATAGTATCATATCATATGTTTTTGAGGGGAATAACATTTTTGTATGCCGTGTTGAGTCATAGGTGTGCCTTGAGTAAAAAAAGGTTGTGGAACACTGCTCTACTATACTATAATATAACGAACGTTAAAATGAAAAGCATGTAAAGAGTTTGGTCATTTTAGCCTATCATTATCATCTTTATTGTGATACTCAGATGGAACAAAATGGCAACTTTCAATTGTCAAGTAGACAGGAATTAAAATTATGATATCTTAAATTTTTTAAGATTTTGTCTAATGTTAACTGTGCCATTCACAGCCAAATAGCAACTGGTAATCTGCCAACAAATTTCACAAAAATATGAACTGAATATTTAAACTCAGCACCCTCGAAAACCACTTAAAACATATTTTATGCAGGCTGGTAACTTTGTATTATGTAATTTTCCTATTCAAATGCCACCAGTGGGTCCAATAGGAAGAAGTGGGTTGAAGTAATTCAATCAAAAGTAGTCATTGATCTTCTCCTGGAAGAGAAGATGGTCAATGACTACTAATTAATACTGGTCTACTATTAATATTTGAAAAGTAATTCATGTTGGATAGGTTGTAATGGTCCTGCATGTGATTTAAGTTGCTAACCTTAACATCTGTGAGGTTCCAAAAATGGGTTGAAATTAAACATTTATTACAGAAATTTATTAAAATAAAACTAAAACTAGGAAAAAAAAAACTCCATTGTTAAAACCATCAAAGATCGGATCAGTTGTGCTAGTCATATGAAACCGAGAGAGAGAGAAAAAAAATACTGTTAATGTAAAACATGATGCAATAAATGTAAACAAACATCCTCCAGTAGAGATGGACCTTTGACAAGGCACTTGTGTACAATTAGAACAAATAAAATTTTGGAAAAGGGGAAAGGTTAATTATAAAAGGGACATTGCATCAGGTCATCAAAAAATTCTAAGATGTCATAGACTAGACAACAATGAGGTAAAGGACAACAATGAGGTATGAGTGCTAGTTTAAAGTCCCATCAACATTTTCTGTCCAGAGTTAATGGATGGTGTCGGTAGATTCTCTGAAACTGACTCTTCTTGTGGCCCGAATGGGTTTTGTCTTTCACTTAGGGACAGACCAGAAACAAATCAGGAGTGGGAAAAAAAGAGACATGGAACCTATTTAGGTATCAGCTTCACACAGGTATCAATCAGAATGGAAAAAAGGGAGAAGGGAGATTGATGTAATCCCTGATCATCAAGGTCATGACACATTCGGCGAGTCGACACACAGTGAAATCTGAAGCAAAAAGATGCTATGTGTCAACACACAGAAGACAGAGTTTTCTTCCTTGTGCTGCTATCCAGAGAGCTGTGCTGCCAATGTCAACCGACAAATCATCTCGCCTGCCACTGCACCAGGACCAAACCATCGAGTGACATTAGAAAAACATCCTCGACACTCAGAACTTTTGAACATTGAATTGTTTAAAGAACTTTGTGCATAGTGTAAGTTATTTTCTGTTAAAAATAAATGGATTTTTGTAAGCTACTTGTCATCTCTGTCTCCTCTGTCACATCCACACGCAAACATTCCTAGATCATCCTGACGTAGGATTAACAATCCTCCCCTAAAAGTTGGCAAACTTACACTGGTGTTTGAGAAGTGGGATTTTAAGTCCCCGATCTCCACCAGGTCAGCAAACTTATGCATCCAAAAGACTTCAAATGACTTGTTTAAATAAAAAAAATCTTATAAAAATGTGAGAATAATTGCTTTTATGTGATAATGAAGTATGTATATTTTTGCAATAGATTGTAAGTTGGGGAAGTTCTCANTCAGAACTTTTGAACATTGAATTGTTCAAAGAACTTTGTGCATAGTGTAAGTTATTTTCTGTTAAAAATAAATGGATTTTTGTAAGCTACTTGTCATCTCTGTCTCCTCTGTCACATCCACACGCAAACATTCCTAGATCATCCTGACGTAGGATTAACGATCCTCCCCTAAAAGTTGGCAAACTTACACTGGTGTCTGAGAAGTGGGATTTTAAGTCCCCGATCTCCAGCAGGTCAGCAAACTTATGCATCCAAAAGACTTCAAATGACTTGTTTAAATAAAAAAAAATCTTATAAAAATGTGAGAATAATTGCTTTTATGTGATAATGAAGTATGTATATTTTTGCAATAGATTGTAAGTTGGGGAAGTTCTCGTANCAACTTAATGTATATGTAAACTCTCTCCCTCATGATCTCTAGAGAGTAAAGTGCTAGAGAGTCTTTTAAGTAAAGATGAACTCCAGCACAAAGTTTGTTTTTATTTTTTAATTTAATCTTTTCAATATTTTAATTATTTAGGGTGAACGTCTAAGTCATGCAGTTGGCTGTGCATTTGCTGTTTGTTTAGAAAGAAAACAAAAGAGAGATAAAGAAGCTGTAACTATGAATTTTGATCCACAGACTGCAACATTTACTCGTATGGGGTCTTTTCGCCAGACTTCATTAACTGAAAGAATGCAAGATCCACAGGAATGCAAACCTGCAGGTTTACATATAATTTTTTTATTTATTATTAATAATAATATTAAATTCAAATTTTTCTAAACATTTATTTTAAATTAACTTATTTAAATAAGTTTATATAATTAAAAATAAATATAATAATAAATCAATATAATATAGCTTCATTGGCCTTACTTACTCATTGATGTAAAATGTTTAAGCAGAAGCAAACTTTTTACAGAAAAATAGAATTGTACAATTAAACCAAGATACTGAAGCAAGATAATTGAAGTATTTTACTAGAAAAATCCAAAATCTCAAAATGTAAAATAAATTATGCTGCAAGACATTAAAGTTTAATAATCTATGCCTTTTCAAGAAAATGGCACTAAACAATTCTATTTAAGTGCTATTTGCCAATTTTTAAAGCTGTTTATTTTTATTAATAAGAGATAGATCACAAAAAAATCACACCTTTAAAATCCAATAATGAATTTAATAAAATAAGAATGTTTTCAACCAGTTTTACTGATCTTCTTCAGTTACAATAGAACGGAAAAATAGAAGATTGTGAATACAAAACTGAGAACAAAAATTCTAAAAAATAAATAAATAACAGCAATTATAATTTAAATTATGATTTCTGAAATTTCAACTATGATTGCTGTTATTTATTTATTTTTTAGAATTCTTGTTTTTGTTTTTTAAATTTTTGTATTCATGTTCTTCTATTTTGTTTTTTGTTCTATTGTAACTGAAGGAGGTCAGTGAAACTGGTCAAAAACATTCTTATTTTATTAAATTCATTACTGGATTTTAAAGGTGATTTTTTTTTTTTTTTTGTGATTATTAATAAGAATTACAAAAGACAGCCTTGAAGCAATTAAAGTTATATATTCAATTATTATATTAATGTTTTTTGCCATGTAAAGTAATGTAATTCAAACACAAATTATTTATTGTATTTATACAGACACTTGGCAAATCACAGAATTAAATTTTGTTTACTTGATACATGTTCTTTTCATTTATACACGTTTCGGGCATTTCTTGCCCCTCTTCAGCCAACCAAAATAAAAGTATAAATACAATAAATAATTTGTGTTTGAATTACAAAGATTACTGGCACGGTTTCAAAAATACCAATGTAATGTCTTATGCCAATCTTTTGGTTCCAAAGAACAAAGTAGTATGAAATACATATCTTAGAATATGTGCACTTGCACTTACAAAATATATACAATTCAAATAACATAAAATATTAAAATTTAAAATAATCAAAAACAGTTAAGAGTTACAACCTACAATAAAATGAAAGATGAAGAATTAAGAAAAATTGAAATGTTTCTTAAGGAGAAACTTTCAGACTTGACAGAGAGTATCAGTGACCTACTTATTAATGCATCCAACAAGTAATGGTATAAAATTTGCAGAATCTTTGTAACTTCAGACCTGGATGTATCATGATCCTTCTCCAGAATCCTGGTTTCATCCCATCTATATATATGTATATAAAATTATTGAATACATGTCCTGACTGACTGATTGATTCATCATCACCCAGAACAAATCGCTGAACCTAAAGAGGTGAATTTTGGTACACAGTTAGGGTATGTCATGTGCACACTAGGAAGGGATTTTTCGAAATTCCCCCACGGGGGAGAGGGAGAGGATTAAGGCTTAACCTGAAGAACGGCTTCTACTGTACTATTTTAGATGTGATTTTTTGTTTTTAACAACATTTTAGTAGGGTATGCAATGAGAGTGCACACTAAGAAGGGATTTTTTGAAATCCCCCGTGGGGGAGAGGGAGAAATTAAGGCTTAAAAAGTCTTAGCCCTGAAAGGCAGTACCACAAACGTGGTTTACAAAGAAGTACTTGGGTAACTGAAACTCTATTTTTCAGTAAATATTTATACTTTAGTAATTTCAGATAACGTCATTTATGTTTTGAAAAAAAAATTGAACTCAGATTTATCATATCTCAGAATCCCATAATATTTAAAACTTGAATTTAGATGCATTAGCAATCCATAGTTTGAAACAAACAATAATCAGTAATTTCATCAAATTAGTAACAACTAATGATTGAGAATGTTAGTGAAGTACCGAGTGTTATTTCTATCAAATTGCAGATTTTGCAATTTGATAGAAATAACACTCCCTCGGTACTTCACTAAGATTACATCTAGTTATACAATATTTCTGGAAACAAATCCAAAAGCAACTAAGGCCTACATTACATTTATTTGTGTCAAAGTCCCTTTTGTATTCCTTCAGTCTTGTACTGTGAGATATAGCTGACATATGATGGTAAAATTCCAAAATTAGGATACAATGAGGGTACTTTGTAGAGGTTTGATTTTTGGATCTTGGGGATACTTGGGGATATGTCATTGAATAGCAGATGATAGATAAACTGTTGAATTTTTATGGTATACTATAGTTAAATCCTTTGCTGACTTGAAGCAACACAGGAAAACATTGCAGAAGTTCATTGTACATCACTTGAAAAGAATTTGTATTACTTTTTATTGAAACAAAGATGTTAAACCTAGTATGATCATATGTCATAATCAACCTTTAAACAGTATTGCTTTGAAAAACTTGTGTAAGTGCCACTTTTATAATATAATTTAATTCATCAATGGTACCAATGATGCTTGAACAATGAATGAAAGCTCTTTTTATTAAGGCTGTAAGATGACCAACTTGTATAGGAAGATGTCATAGGAGGAAACTGGAATGTGTGTAAGCAGGCTATCAGGCTTCCCATAGACATTCATCTACAGTACATATCTCCTTGCCTAAATCTTATGTGCAAGTCTAAGAAATGATCTAATTCTTGGCTTTCCTGTCTAGTTTAATATCTACACCAAAAGGGTTATTGTTATATTCCATAATAAAGGTTTGCAAGACTGTTTTATGTTTCCAAATAATTAAGACATTGTATGCATAATATTTATACAACAAAATATCTTCTTGGAAACAAGAAAGGATTAATTCATCTATTTTTCTATGATCTCAAGATGGAATCCTGGAATCCTGCTATCTTACATGAGAACTTTTCATAGAACACAAAACAAAAGAAAAAATATAAGATAGGCAAATTTGAGGATATCAATACGGTATTGACCCAAGTCCCGAATAATGGAAATCAAAATATCTCTTAGAGCACAAAAACATGATTGTAAATGGATGGATAAGAAACTACTGACAAAATATAGGATTGTTGTGTTGTTATGTACTCATTGACCAGTAAAAAATTGTTGAATTCCTATGCCAGTGACTTAAGAATCCTTTCTGTGTACTGATAATGAAGTGATAATGAGGTGACAAAAGAATATACAGTAAAACCTCCATTAATGGACACTCCCAAATAGTGGAAACCTCTACTTAATGGACATTTTTACAATAACCAGATACTTCAAATTGGACATCTATAATATTTACTTCTAAATAATGGATGCCTATCTTACAAAAATACAAAGTCCCACCTTCAATATTCTGAAATTAATATATTAAATATAATAAAGAATTAATTATGTACAAAATATTTTAAAACTAAAACAAAGGATCAGTTCAAATACTCTTTCAGAGGATGAATTTTGACCATAGGCATTCAATAAAGATTGGCTTAAAATAGGAATAAGGGAGGAGGGCAGGTTGTGAAAACAATATTCATTATCTGTTAGAGAAGACTAATCTGGTTAAGCTGTCAATCATCACTTATTGCAATACATATTAATGTTATCAAACTTCTGTCTTATTGTTGGAATTAAGCTTACTGTACAAAGAAACCATAAACTTTTTCCATGTTATTCATTCATTCAACAAGAACTGTAGTACAGTAATAATGAAAAATTAACAGTTTTGAGATTAAGACAACAGCATTTATTTGGTGAAAGTTTGTGTTACAAAGGCAATTTTCCAATCACTTTAAAGTGTATGAAGATATTCAGCTTTCTCGCATTTATGAAGTAATTTATGATCTTAACAGCTTTGTGGTGGTTAAAATAACTTTTAAAGCAAAAATATTCAAAAAATTACACCTACTCAATAACTACAAAGTTGACAAATCACTATATTGATTTTTATTAGTTGCTTAGATCATAAATGATGTTATAAATGCAAGAATAGAGATACATTTTTTACCCCTTGAAGTGGCTAGGAAATTGCCTTTGTAACTCAACATTCAAACTCTCATTGCCAAAACTGATCTTCGTCCACCTTTCTGTTCATAATAACAGAAAGATGGACGAAGTTCAGTTTCATTTTTCTTTTTTGTTACTTCTGCTTAGATAGTTTTTGACAAATTAATAATTAATCAATGTTTGTTTTGTCATAATTTTTATGTTCCATTTAACTAAACTATCCTATACGTTTGCTATTTATAGTTCAATTAAAATGTCATTTTTACAGCTGAAAAGATAAATAATATATTGTATATATATTTTAATTGTATATGCTATGTATACTTTTTTGATATTTCAATTCCTAATGCAAATTTGACGTTTTCATAACCCATCATGTTCTTCACTTTATAATGACCAGGTTAAAATACAGTATGGCCTCCAGTATGTACAGTACCTGTATCTCCAAATAGCAGACAAACTTTTCAGTTCTGACAGTGTCCACTATTTGGAGGTTACACTATAGATTTTTCTCGAATAAGTATATAGGTGAAGTGCAGTTCTAGTAAGTTTAAATATAAAATTTTCACTGTTTGAAGATTGTCTTTTGTAATTTATGTACTGAAGCAGTTGTTTTATTACTTTACACTATTATTATTATTACACTATTTTAAATTATGCTTATAAAGTATATATTTTTATATCTGCTTATTGCCTCCATGATGACAACTTTCTATTTGATGTACATTAATATACACATCTGGTGATGAATGCTTGTTATTTTTTGTTTGTACTTCATAATATTTTCAAAATGATAATTGTTCCAATTTGAAAAAGAATGTTTTAAAATAATGACACATGTTAATTTCAACAAATGCCTGCCAAATAAATTTGAAATATGTTACATCAGAATCAGGGTTCAATAACAAAAACAAAAAATATAAATTATGTATGTCATATATAATATGTATTTTTTGTTTTTGTTTCTCAATTTTTGCCCAATTCCATTTTGTTTTATCATTTTATTTTAATTTAGTAGTTATATGTGTAAATAGAATTATTTTAATTTTCCTTTTCAGAACCACCTCCAGTGAAACAAGTTCATAATCCATTTGCCATTGAAAGACCTCATGCAACTCAAGTAATGCTTCAGAGACAGGGCTCATTTCGTGGATTTAGTACTTTAAATCAAACTTCTCCATTTAAACGGCAATTGTCATTACGTTTGAATGATCTTCCTTCAACATTAGAACGGCAAAGAGCAATGTCTCTTGAATCATCTGATGTTTTTTTTATACAAAATGGACCTACAGGTAAATATTAAATATTTCAAACTCTAAATTTTTATTAAAAAATTATATAAACAGTACTAGGATAAAGGAATGTTATCCTGTTATTGTTTAAACATTCATTTTAGTAAAAAATTAAATTTATATGAAATAACTGTTTCATTTTTTTTAAAAATTCAAAAATAATTTTCTGAATAATAATAATTGAACTAATTATTCAGTGCTATTTATTTTTGCAAACACAGTTAATATCAAAATTCTTATATAAAAATTCACTCTTTTTATCTTATTAAAATAATGCTGTTATTGAATTTTATTTAGTATACATTATTACAGACTATGCAAATATAACCAGGTAATATAGTCTCATGCATATGATTCTTGATTCTATCGTATGTGTGTATGGTGCTACTAGTGTAACTAACATAATAGATATACTACTGTATCTTTTATGTTAGTTAAATTTTATATTAAACAAGTAACAACAATGTAGAAGATGTGGTTGCTGTAACTTCAAATTCTGTGTGTAGCATCTTTGTAATCCAAACGTTAATTTTGGTAGACGATCAAACAGCAATTAGTTAGGAAAACGTTATGGTTTATTTAAAAGAACACTTTTTTAAAAAATTCAGATGCATTTCGGGTTGGCTTGCATTCCCAACCCCTCTTCAGTGATGTTATATAATGGTACAGTATAGACATGTGTGGCAATATTTTTATTACATAGTTGTATGACTATTTCATTTTTAGTTAAAATGTATTATTCTTGAGAAGAAATGGAACAGAGTACAAATTGACAATGGGCGTTATCCGGTGTTCACCGAGTAACAGTATACTGGCAAGTGAACCAGTGAACAGCAAACTTTCCAGTATACTGTTACTCGGTGAACACCGAATAACACCCGTTGTCAATTTATACTCTGTTCCATTTCTTATCAAGAATAATACATTTTAACTAAAAATGAAATAGTCATACAACTATGTAATAAAAATATTGCCACACATGTCTATACTGTACCATTATATAACATCACTGAAGAGGGGTTGGGAATACAAGCCAACCTGAAATGCATCTGAATTTTTTAAAAAAGTGTTCTTTTAAATAAACTGTAATGTTTCCTAACTAATTGCTGTTTGATCGTCTACCAAAATTAACATTTGGATTACAAAGACGCTACACACAGAAGTGACAACAAATTAATTTTCTCATAATAATTGATTGTTTGAAATATTTCATCCTTGAAACATCCCATTTCTGTCAAGTAAATAAAATCAGAACACTTGCTAAAAAATAAAAAGAATGTTTTTGTTGCTATTAATGGAAATATCTTCAGATTTAAAGTAAACATGAGAAAGAATTCATTTATAATATGTGAAGTTCTGAACCTTTATTCTTTTTTATATATTATTTAAAGCTAATGATATTTTCATTATCAGTTACAGATGTGCTCACTTTATTTTCAAATAATGAATCAAATTACACCTATTATTTGTGTGTCTGTGTCTTTTTAAACCAAATTATTCAAAATATATTGTCAAATTTGACATTGTTACAAAATGAACAGTATATCTTACAAATGGCATCTCTATTTTCAGTCTTTTGACTTTTTGTTAGTATACTATATGTTAAATATTTTTAACGTTTTGTTCAACTTTCCATATTTGAGCACGAGAAATGTAATACTGCTGTTAATGTTTAAAGAGTCACTAATTTATTACAAATAAACATTTTTTGGGCTTTTCATCATCAAATTAACATCAAAGATTGAAGAGTTAGATCAACAGAAAAACAAAGTTATAATTGAATATCTACATATAATTGTTTACTAAACCTATTTCATATGTGAAGACTGAGTTTACAGGTATTCAAGAACATCACCTATTGAGATTCTAGTAGCAAGAGAATTCACAGATCTTTGTTGTTGAAGCCTCATTTAATTAATGAATTTATGGACAATACCCATTGTGATTTTTAGGTGTATATTGTAGCTGATATTTTGATTGTATAGGAAAAGGAGGAGAGATATAAAGACTTTGTTTCTAACATTAACCAAAATAATGTAACTAGAAGTAGATTAAGTTGGTAAATTTAGTATCTATATTCAGGTTATATATTAAAATTGATAAATGTTTCTTCATTACAATGGTTTATAAGAAACCAACTGCAGTACTATCATATATTCATTTTTTCTGACATGATCTATTTAAACCTAAGATTGCCTTTCGGATCACTAATGCACAGGACTATTTTATATTCTTTATAGAAAGATTATATTTAAGAAATAAATAATAGAGAGGTTGAAATATTCTTTGGTAAGAATCTAAAAAAAATATGATAAACATTGAAGAACAAAAACAGTGTGTAAAAAAAAAAAGAGTCTAGAAGATCTTTTAACATAAAATTTCAAAGTAAATGGGAATGATGCCAAAATGTTTTTAAGCTGAATTTTAAAACTTGTGGATTATGCTTGTAACATTCTGATTTCCTACTTTTTGTAAATACATAAGCAATGAAAAATTAAAGAAGTGAAGTGTACAGGGTTTCCATTGTCCTAGACAAAACAAATAATAATGAGTATGTTGGAAGCATGGAAGATATGAAGATCACAGGGAGATATAGGGAGGAAATTAAATAAAGGGGAGACAAATACAGGTAGCCCTCGGTTTATGTCAGCTCAATTTACGCCGATTCACAATAACGCCACTATGCAATTTACCGTTTTGCGGTAAATTGCGTAATTCCCCGATTTTTCCTATGCCAGACTGATTTTCATTTCAGTGTTGACGTATTTACCGAGCCGCGACATTGTACATTCATTAAAACAAAGATTTTTATTAAATATATTTAGTTTTTCTGTTTAATATTATTGGGTATGTATACATTTGCATTAAATTAATATTAAAATACTAAACGTTTAGGTACCCATGAGTCAAGTTATCAAACTTAATTGTCCAATAAATGGTGTCCAAATCCATGGTGCCAATGAATGTATCCTGTATCAATTCATTCAGGAAAACACCTTATGACGCAGTAGCACTTCTGGCGATCACAAACTATCCTTAGTGAGACAAATCTACTTCTCGTTGGCCAGACGATATCTATCTCTCTTTAGCCACCTTGAATTTTTCCCCTCAAACTGACCTTATATATGCACTACGGTGACCGGTGGTCGACCAATCAGTGTCTCCGCTTGTCTGTAGCTCTATGTCGGGTTAATGTATCCTTTCAACAATGGAAAGTTTGATGGATGAACTTTGTGAGTTAGACAATGATTGGGAGAGAAGTGCAAATGTAAAAAGGAGCATCATATTCGACCATATTCCGAAATTCTCAATGAAAGAAAACAAAAATGTAAACAATTAAAGATGGTCTTTAAGCCTCTGTTTTAAAAGTCTCATAGTGGCACCAACGTAAACGAGATCTGAATTAAAACAGTGGTCACTTAAAGGAATAGAATACACTCCTGTACTATTGTTACGGTTTCCTTTCTTCTTATCATTTTGTAGAATTCTATAAATCGTAGGATTACAATGATA